CATTCTATTCCGTTCGACATACTGAATCTTTCAAGTGTGACTTATCGCTCGTATATAGCAAGGGAGCTCGGAGCAGCTGGTCTCACGACATGGGTTACTGATTACAATGCACGCTTTACACGATATCATTCTGAGATTAGTTAAATTCTCTGTTTGTAAATCTTCAATAAAAAGGTGTAAAGCACTGCCTCGCACTCATAAAGGAACGTTCTACTCCGATCGCACTAAAGTTTCCCCGGCTCAATACAGCTTGTTTCCAATCTTATATCTGTACCGCCATGAGAATTTCTGACTACGACTTCAAAATCCACATCAGTCTTTACAGGCGTCGAGGAGAGGCTCTAAACACTTGCAAATAGAATCTTTGGGCGCTTTCAAATTCACCTTGTATTTGTCTTCGCATGGATGTCCAATCTACACAGAACGTGGACGACGATAATGTACCGGGATCTTTTCCTGAGCCTCAAGTCCTGGCAAGATATGTTCTGAACGTCAGTTCAATGATCCTCTTATCGTGATTTCACGTTGACAATATCTGTAGGTAGATGAACCGGCTACGAACAAGCCTACTGATGCCGAATTTTACATCAACGACTCTACTGGAAAGCTCAGGCCGAACCATGCCATGCTCAAAGATCATTTTTTCAAAGAAGGAAGATTGAAGGAGGAGCATGCTTTGTTCATTCTACAAGAAATATTGGAGATGCTGAAGCAGGAGGCAAACTTAGTGGACGTAAAGAGCCCTGTGACAAGTGCGTACCATCTACTTTCTGATACTCTCAAATTCCTTATGCTATTTACAGTATGTGGTGATATCCACGGACAATATGTACGCGTTGTATCCATCAATCATTCGTCCAGCCATTCATTGCCTCAAAGTACGATCTCATGAAGCTCTTCGACGTCGGTGGCTCACTGAATGACAACTGTTATCTATTTTTGGGAGATTATGTTGACCGAGGCTGTTTCGGAATCGAAGTGCGCCCACTGTTCCTTCGAGAATATGTCGTTGCTTACTGCCTTCCTCAGTGTCTGCTGTATCTGTATGCCCTCAAGTTATCTTATCCAACCAAATTTGTATTACTTCGCGGAAACCATGAATGCCGCCATCTTACTGAATATTTTACGTTCAAACGCGAATGTCAGGTCTTCTATTTATCTAGTTCCTTTCGCGGCCTTCTCATTATAATTTTAGGCCTTCACAAGTACTCTGAGCAAGTGTACGAGGCGTGCATAGAATCATTTTGTGCTTTACCTGTCGCCGCCCTCGTGGACCATAAATTCTTCTGCGTACACGGTGGAATTTCTCCGGAACTCAATACCCTGAATGATATCACCACCGTACGCTTTTGCAATGAGGTACCTAACTGAATTTAACTTTTTATATTAGTTGGACCGTTTCCAAGAACCTGGTTCGCATGGGCTCCTTTGTGATCTTCTATGGGCAGATCCAGTTTCAGGGTTTGGCGAAGAGGACAAACCTAACAGTCTTGTTCCTAAAGGCTCCACGTTCCTTCATAATGCAACTCGCGGATGTTCTTACTTCTTCACGTATGCCGCTGCTTGCCATTTCCTCGAACGGACGCATCTTCTAGGAATCATACGTGGACACGAAGCGCAAGATAATGGTTACACGATGTTCCGAAAAACCCCAACTAAAAAGTTCCCTTCAGTCATAACGATATTCTCTGCTCCAAATTACCTAGATGTGTATCACAATCGAGGCGCCGTGATCAAGTACGCAAACAAGAACATCACGATCAGGCAGTATAATGCTAGTCCGCATCCGTATTGGCTACCGAATTTTATGGATGCGTTTACCTGGAGTCTGCCATTCGTTGGTGCAAAGAGTACGTGTAGATCTTGACGATGGATGTCCTGACTAACCTCAATTCAATCTAGTCACGGAAATGCTTCTGGCCATTTTGAGTATCTGTAGTGAAGAAGAGCTTACAGAAGAGGACTCGAGTGAAGAAGAAGAGTCTCGAGCATTAGCCGATGCTTCCATGATACCAGTGGAGTATCAACGACGGCAACAGATCAAGAACAAGATAATGGCTGTCGGTCGAATGCAAAGAGTGTTTCAGTTACTTCGGTATGCGTGTTGCTTTTGACTCCCCTAATGACAAAATCTCTCATCTTTCATGTATTGACAGAGAGGAATCAGAAGCAGCATCAGAACTTGTGGCTACGGAAGATATTTCTGGTCCAACTACTGCAGGTCTGCGTGTAGGACCTGATGCTTTGAGCGTACAAGGGACACAGATTGGAAGGAATATTCGGAGCTTTGACGATGCGTGCGTATTTCACCTTTATTCTATCGCTCATTTCAATTCATCACACCTTCGATAGTCGTCGGTCTGACCTTATGAACGAACGTTTACCTGTGTTCGAGGCAGAGACTTCACCTGACGGAAGCCCAACGACGATGTTCCCTCCGCCTAGCATGAGGCTTCCTAGTAGACGGGGGAGTAGTATGGGAGAAGGACTGAATATGGAGATGTTGATTAAGAAGACGCTAGATGAAGATGAAGACGATAGTCCGATCGTAGAGAGATTAGCTGAGCGGATTGCCAGAGGAAGGAGGGTCACTGGAAGGCCTCAACCGCTGAAGAGGCATGAAACGACGTGATATAGTTGGAATGGAGGAGGAGCTCTGTACTATGTGTGTACGTATGTACGATTTTCCCATTTTCTTATATCTTTTCTTTGCTGTTAAGCATGTCTTCCAATCCGTTCTGCATTCACGCTAATGTTGGGATCCGCCGTGTCATAGGAGATCGCTTGCGTGATTTCATGTGAGTGGTCTACATAAGGGTGATCGGGAATGAGGACAGTACACGCGTTACTTGTGGCCATTCTTCTTGTATCCCACCGCTATATTCTGAGCTTGCATTGACGAAGACGCTGTAATACATGGCTTCATTTCTCCCTGTTCGTGAAGATATCTTTACACCAGAAGATTTTGTTGACATAGATGATGTCGAAATAGGAACGCTTGTTTTGACGACCGCAACTCAGACTGTATGTCTGAGTTCTCCATCTTTCATCATGTTTCTGACGTTTCTTTCGTCTGCTCCAGGCTCACGACTTTACCCACGAAATTGATTTTTCGGATATTGACTCTACTGGCAGCAGAGATGAATCATCCTTGGAATTTTCCGATCCAGAAGACTCGGAGGATGAAGGAGAAGAATTCATCGTAGCAGAAAGACAATCCCCTACGTCGCATTTGGCTCCTCGTTCCCTCTCTCCCAAGAGCATCTCAGCTCATTCAATCTCAGACGATTCTTGCAGCGAAGCTTACGATACCTACAATTCTGCTCACGGTGAACTAGACGAAGAACCGACGGTTTTGGAGACGAGTTACCATGTGTTAGACGTGGAACGTCAGCGCCATTATGCTGCTATCACCGACCTTGAGGACAGACACGCAAGCGACATGATTGAGCATGCGATCGAAGTACAGGAGCTGCGCAAAACGCAGGATGCTTTACGAGAAGAAGGCCTTGTCAAGGCCGCTCGAGAAACGATGCTACTTGGAGAAAGAGAGGAACTTTTGTCGCAGCTCGACTCTAGATCAAGTAGCAATGCCGCTCTTTCAGAGGAGAATAAACGGCTATCACTTCAGGTGCTGGAAGCACAGACAAGGATTGTTGATCTTGAGCGCGATCATATCGAGATGTTAGCTTCCCAGGAATATCTTTCTACCCAGCTCTTGAATCGCACTCGTGAATTGGAGAAGGTAAAGGGAAAATTCGCCGAAGAGATACATTCAATTACAACTTCTCGCGATGACGCTTCCGCTGAAGCTGCCCGCATTCGCCACGAGCTAGATAGTCTCACAGTCACTACAACACAGGAACACACCGATCTTATTGATACTTGCAATGCTCTGCGTGACCAACTGGATAGCACGGTGCATGAGCTGGATGCGGAGCGTATGCGAGCGAGAGGGGTCGCCGTACGATCTGCTGAGGAAATCTACGCTTTGACGGAGTCTCGAGATGGCCTTAGAGCTGAGGTTGACCGGATTTGTTGCGAACGAACAGAGTTATCGAATACTTCCCAGGCTATTATCAACTCCCTTCGGATCGAACTCCAAGATAAAACCCATGAACTGCAGGAGGAACATACTAAAGCCATTTCTGCAATGGATATCGTCTCAGAAGAGATTCGTGCTCTTCACCATATTAGGGACACAACTCAATCTAAGTGCCAAAGTCTGCGAGAAACGATTTCTAGTCTCCAGGCTGTTGTGCATGACAAAGAAGAACAACTAACGACCACCAAGCGAGATCTAGAAACGTGCCGCAAGTTGGCGTTGAGGGCGATCGACAATCTGAAAAAGGAACGAAATTCTTTAAAAGAACAGTTAGAGAATGTCGCTGATGCTCTCCATAAAGCACAAAAAGCGGACAGCCAGCTAAAGACCCACCTCTCCGAGAGGAAGGCGTTGTAGGCAGTCAACCAAGGCGGATGACGCGAATCGCCGCGCGGAAAGAAATGCCTTGAGACGCGATTCGGGCAACCTCCAATCTGAGCTCAATTTAACTCCGGATATACCATTGCAGACAACAGCGCGCTTAAGTCACAAAATCCGCCTTGCCTGGGCATCCGCCAGTAGTACTGCTCGTACGGGACCCATTCCTATTCTTCGATGACTGTAAGATTAAAATCTCTTGCCTCCAAGTGTTGTGTCTGTGTCCAATAACCTTCTATTTCGACGGTAGTAACATGTTTAGGGCGCATGCATCGGGTATGCGTGCTCATCCGTTCTTAGAGAAAGAATTGATCTGGTATAATCTATTTGCTCCGACGTTCGGCAGACACCCTTGTATATGTTATAAGTTCAGCTTAATTCAAATTCGGACTGGTGTTATCAATATTTAACGAGAACTTATCACTTGAAGTGCGGAAACCTTCGAAGGAGGTGTCAGGGAGGAGACGGGCGATTCAAAAACAAAGAATACCACCTTCAGGACTCAAAAACCTAGTAATGATCCCTGCCCGGATTGAACGGACGACCTTGAGGAAACCTGAACTGGAATCTCACGCTCTACCGCTGAGCTAAGAGATCATCTATATCTAAATTCATAAGGAGAGGTCTTAGATCCAAGGCATACGCCACGCTCGCAAAGCTTTAACCATACTTCAGAGACACTGCAAGGTCAACATGAGTGATAGGCCATCAGTGCAATTAAAGACCTTGACCTAACCTTGACCTAATGTCACAAAGAGGTGACAGTTTGCAGTGGTGCCAGTGAAGTGACTAAGCAGGGAATTTAAGTTAAGGTAGGTGACTCTCAAGTTTGTCTAACATCATGAGATAATGTGACAACCAAATTGGGTGATAGCTAATTGCCATTGGCTGGTTTGAACTTCAAGTATGCATTTTGACTTTCCTCTGCAACAGGGGAAAAATTGGTTTCCAATGACCCAAAAGTAATTCAATTTAGGCTTTGGTCAATGCACAAGATGTATAAAATTTTATGGTATATATGGAGTAATTGACCCATTGTTGCTTCAGACTACTGTCCACCTCTACATTTGGAAGAGAAAGCACCTTGAGAATCTCTTTGGAACAGGAAAAAGGATCACAGGGACTTTATTATCTGTTCTTAAGCAGTCTTTGTCACTCAAAATGTCATCTAGTATTGGCACTTCTGAGGTCAGTTTTGCAGTACCATATCATGTCCCCTTCTCTAAGCCACTGAATGTATATCCATAGAATGTGGGCCCAGCTCATTCTGGCCTGAAATTAATGCCCTTCCCATCTCCAGTCAAAACTCTAAAGCACCTCACATTGCCCTAAATAACAGCAGCAAAAAGGCACCATACAACTGGTTGCAACTCATCATTCCTGTAAGGCTTGACATCAAACCACCAGCCTTGGTGTGATAACCCCTCCATGAAAAGGGAGCAATGTCAATTTCGGATTGACATACTGGCTGGCAGTATATATAGTGCATGATGTTGTCACGAAACGCTCTTTTTATTATTCTTTTTCTTTTCTTTTATTTACTTACCTAATCACTAAAGCGCTTACACTAGTGCTTATTATATTTTCATTTCCATCTAGATTACACATGTCAACCTTATTGTTCTTGCATTGTCATTTCACCCAGGCATGACTCTCTCGTGCCTGTCAGCTCATTGACAAGACGACGTCACTATTGTCCCACCTCCATGCTTCTTTTTATATTGCCTTATTGTTTACTCACTGAATACCTACAGCCTTACTTATGGATACAAGTGACTCTTATTGTAGATCCTCATGGTTACAGTGCAAGATGATTCTCACAGCTTCATATCCCATTAGTATATAAGACTTAATATTTTGTAGTTATATTCCTTAGCTCTATTCTCATCTATTCTCCTCAGTAGCTAGACTAGTATTGGGTTGTTTTATCCATCCTCATTGTTTTTTCATCCTCTTGCTCATCAACTATCGTGTGATGCCTGGTTGTCTCTTGTGAGAGCTAGCGAGTCACTGACAGATGTTGTATCATAACAATTCCCATACCATGTATACTCCATTGATGCATCAAAAATCTACCTCTATGTCTTTTGAACTGAGATGTTGTTGTAGAGTAAGCTCAGTTGAGTGCATGGAGACAGGACAACTGAGGGAAGTAAACTACTATGCCTTGCAGGTATATAAGCCAATCACTTGGTTGGTGTATGTAAGCTGCAGAATGCGACCAGAATAAAGTAATAAGTAATTGACCAATATATCAAAAGAGGAAATGTCAATACTAGTCTTACAGGGTACTGCTCAACACATGTCAGTCTATCTCTTCATTGACACCACATAGAGATTGTATTTTTCAAGTGCATCCTGTCATTCTATCTCTTCCAACATGCCCTGTTGTTCTAATGATGATCCCTTTCTGGACACACCAATCAAAGGCTCATTGTTGATCAGAATGATATCACTAGTCCAGTCTAGCAGTCTTTACTTGATATTTTTGATTCAAATACAAATCCTGATTCAGATCCCAATGCTAAATTGTCAGTTCTATAGCTGAGATTTCCCATTACTGAATTCATTTGCATGTGGCATGTCAGTGCTGATCTTACTTTGGAAAAGTTACACTCTATTGAGGATATTCTCTATCAGTTCCAAATTCTATTCTTGTGCCACCATTGAGGAAGTTTTTGATGATGGTTCTGTCAGATGCTTGATCACTCTACCTCATGACTCTCATGTTGAAGAAGTAGACAATGGTGTTGCAACAAGGCAAGTGACAAGGCAAGAAACAAGTAGCACCAGACCTAGATGTGACAAGGAACAATGGTAGCACAGTGACAAAGCACAGAAACAAGCTCAAGGCACAGATTGGAAAAATAGTGACACTGGGTGCAAAGGTCAATAGATTATACTACTTACAGATAACTTTTAGTAAAATTTTTGAAAAACAGGGATTTATTCAGAAGTTTACACTATGTTACTATTTCCTATATAAGTTTCAAGTAAATCTCATGTAAGTTTACCAGAAGGGGTAAAACTTATACACTTTTACATTCAGTGTGATCTCAAACAACAGTGGGATAGCAGCAAGGGCCAATCACACCAATAATCAAATGGAAATCTAGTTGCCCAATGACCAAGAGGTCAAGATGGAGAACTAGTGTTAAGATTGTGCAACTCTGGAATCGCGGAATGATTGCAATGTAATCACGTAATTGGTTGGGAATGCAAGGGGATAATTCCCTTGCGAAGGGAGGAATGATTTGCAGAGTGACAGAAAGGTAGTTGGACATTGACACTACTATTGGTAGTGCCCTCAACACATCAATGGTCTAATATAAAGGTAATAGCAGCATCAGTCCATGAAGGTTGCTTTGCGGAATGTCATGTTAGGTTTGTTAGCCATAGTCCATGCCCTCATTTGATGTGCACCAACTCCTGTCAGACAACACATACCTCCATTCTTATCATTTACCTCTGGACACTGTTGCTCATTGTTTACCTACTGCATATCAGATTAGTTTATATAGTTTCCCTTGTCACATTGAGTCCCCTCAGTCATTTATACACATACCAACTGAGGTGAGACCCAATATTCTCTTCATATTCATACATTTACTTACTCGGTCCCTGAGTAGCACCTTAACATTGTATAACAGGTACCTAATACATCAGTTGTTTATACACATACTGACTGAGCACCTTATTGTTGTATAACAGATTATGAGGCTCGACTTTCCAAGAGCATAGGACAAAACAGAATACATAAATTGTTTAGGCCATGCACCGGAAGGAAATAGATCAAGGTTCTGGAGCTCTGTTTGAAGCTTTCGAAGTCCGGAAACTATAGTAACAGCAAATCAAAGTAATGGAAAGGCTACACGGGCCTTGGGAAGTGATGGGACTTCAGCGAAGCTTTCGGCAACGCTCCCTACATGTTATCTGGGTGTCCCTGCGAAGTGCAAAGAAGAATGAAGCTCCAGAGCGTCGGAAGCATCCAATCGATTGATCCGGACGTGATTAAGTGTAATAGAGAAGGAGTATAGAAGGTAACTGTTATTTCAAGCAGGGGAACCAAACTAAACAAGTTGACCTAAGTACTAAACTGCCTAATTGTTAAATAAAAGACAATAAGTGAGAAGGATTCGAAATAATACAATAATGGTGTTTTCCAAGAGCCGACAGGCATGAGAATGCATTGGTCATGATGACCGAGTGTTATGTGATGTATCTGAGGTTGTTCCGAAGTTATTAAGCCAAGGAATGGAGTACGAAATGGATCGAGATTCAAGTTGAACTTGGTAACAAATGCGAAATGAATCAAAAGGATGATCGATTGACCAGAAGATCGGCCGGAATGCCGGAATGTTCATATAGTGATTGATGACCTTGGAAATCGGTCCAGAAAGCATAGTGGAGCTTGGCATATATATAACATAAATACAACCCTGTCAATAAACCCTCCACTGAAAGAATATGTCATCAGGAGTTACCCCGAATGTTCCGCAATTTGAAGAAGATGTCAGACTCCAGGGGAGGGAGAATTGGGCATCCTTCAAAAGCTCAATTATGTTTGCAGTTGGATCAAAGGGGATGCAGGGGTATCTTAATGGTACAATCACTAAACCATCTGCATACACATACACTGGACCAATCTACCGCCAAACTATCCAGAATGCTACCCTGCTCTTCAGTTCCAGCCCTTCTCCTAAAGAGCTCTACACCCAAGACAGATGGGTAGCCAGTATGATCATCACCAATGTGGTAGACCCAATAGGCATTGGAATAGACAAAAATGCCTCTGCAGTGCAGATTTGGGCAATCCTCTGTAAGGAGCTTGAGCCAAAATCAGAACAACTCATTATGATAGCTGAGGAGGAACTTCATACCTGCAAGATGGCAGAGGATGGAGACTTCGATGACCATGTCAAGCTCATGCATAACAAAGTCAAGAGTGCATGAGATGTTGGGGCCACAATCCTTGATGAACAGTTCCAAGTCATCCTCCTGGCATCGCTGCCCAAAGGTTGGGACTCCGAGGTAACAAACATCCTGGGAATCACAAGTAGCTCTGCTATTGCCCATCTGAAATCAGTGTGGGTGCAAAGGAAGGAGCACAGGGCAGAGGAGGAAGCTGATGAGATAAAGCTCAAGGCCCTACTTGCAACTGTAGCAGCTAACACTACCACCTTTCCTAGCAGCAATGCCAACCATTGTGGCCCTCTCCCTGGTAGACCTTGTACCAATGCCGGATGCCCAAAGCCAGTAATGCATGCCACAAAGGACTGCTGGGCACCAGGGGGAGCAAGCGAGCACAAACAACCCTCCTGGTACTGAACAACTAGGAATGGGGGTAACTCGAATTCAAAAGCTATGCCAGATACCACTGCAAATGCTATTGAAGCCACCCTGACAGAGATGTATGTCCTCGCCACCAGCACTGGTGATGGACTGAACACAGATGATACCTGTACATCAACCTGCCACACCATTAGCATAACCCACTCTCAACCATCATCTAGACTGGGAAGAACTACAGCCATTCTAGAGAAAGGAAGAGATAGTGCTCCATCTTCAGGATGCAGCAGGAGAGAGAAGGACACACA